ACACACACACACACACACACACACACAAATCTCTGAACTGTGAAAATGTATCGAAAAGAATTGATTTGCAATGTTCACAAATAGAATTTGGTAGTTTGAAATGTTCAAAAATTCAATAAAAGTTATGAAATTTTGGAAGCGAAATAATTTTACTAATGCAGGCAAATTATTTTAAACTTACTCTAAACAGTTTGACGTTTTGTTTTTTCGAATCAACGATAGTGAAAATGTGAGGAAACAGCGCATTTGTGTGAAATTCTTTCCAAATTCCTCCCTCTCTCCCATGTTTTCCTACAAATTTCAAAATTCTTGAAGTTTTAAACCATCGGAAATGCAATCAATAGTTGATTTGTGTAGATTTATTTTTGAGAACAATTTTGCATTTTCCGGCTAATAATAATATGCTGTGATTTTGGTCAGATTCAAATGCATTACGAATTTCATTACCGTCGAAATCTTTCATGGGGTGAATCGATCGCTTTCTAAATGTTAAATTAAAACATTATGCCACTTCAAAGGTTCGGCAAACGTTTTGAACTCTATAAAATGGTTTTTTTTTTTTTTTTGCAAAAAAACTGAACGTGAAAAAAATTGTTCGAGATGGTAATTCGTCAACACATTTATTTTCCACATTTCTGGCAACTACTGGAAATATTTGGATTCGATTTTGAAAATATATCGTTTAGTCTCCGATTTGGGATTAACGGAAAAGATTTTGCACTTCTCGTAGTCAATTTTAATTCTACCTTTATTCCTCTGATCCGTCAATAAATACAAAACAGAATAAATGGCAAAATTTGCTTCAAACAAATGATATATGATGCATTTATTCATTAGCATGCAACCAATTTCTGATTGCTTTATCAACATTGTTAAAATTAATTCTTTCCTAAACTTCATATTCAATTCATTCCTAATGCTTTTCCATTCCACATGCTTTAATTAATTCCACAAATTTCAAGATTTATGGTTTTTTATTGCATTATACTTATTCTTTTCACTTTGATAAGTTTATTTTTTAAATTGTAAATTATCTTTAAATTATCAATTTATAAAATTATCATTTAAAATTCTTTCTTGCAGGTAAACGATAATTGTCTGATTTGATTCGAGATCATTTATTGATCCCAGAATTTCTTTCTTCTTCTTGAATAGTAACATCGATCATCTATTCATAACTATCAATGTCTGGAAATAAATTTCATCACTTCTCACTCCTGGGTCATTTTCCTCGGAATGTAAACAGGAAAATATTGCTATTTCTCTTTTCCTAAACGATACTTTTGCCTTTATTGCTCAATTTCTTTTCTTCTTATTATTATTATTACTATTACTATTATTTCAAAAGCGTCTAAAATTATCCAACTTCCACGCACATCAATTCAATTGAGCAATTTTGTGAAAATATATTCATAGGCATGGGAAAAAGAACTGCTACGAAACATTGATTTGCAAATATTGAAACGTTTAATAAAAGAGAAATGGCACGAGGAAAATAATCTTTGATCAGAATTGATCGGAAATTGTGAGAGAAATAGAAAATTCATAGTAGTATCATCAGTAAAGGAAATTTTGAGGGAGCAGTAGAAAATTTTATACTGACAAATTGCGGAAGTTATGTAAAGTGATACGATACGTGATGTATCGAACATTTACGTGCAACAAACTTGAAAAACAATCTTTCCGGAACGATATTACTATTTCCAATATATAGTTAATTTTTGTAGCTTCAATTTTCTTCCGGAATATTTGTCCATCAAACACAACTTGACAATTATCATTTGAAATAAATCCATTTGTTATAATAGTTATAAATGCTAAATTATAGTAAAACAATTTTAAAGAAAACAAAAAAAGACTTTTAAAAATCAATTTTTAAACTAAACAAATTCCTCGTATAAATTCTCAAACATATATTGTTAAAAGTGTGTGAAAGATTCTGCGCAAAAATTTATAGAAGGAAATATTGCAGAGATGCTTTATAAAAAAATTTAAAAACATATTGAAATCAATCATTGACTGCTTTTCAACTTTCGAATCAGTCATATTTTCTACTACCGACATTAGCATTCATATATGCAAATGTATGTTTACTAGAAATATATACATATTCCATAAGACGATCTCACTCATTCATTTCGCAAACAAAAACTTTCCTAACTTTAAAAAAAAACTTGGAAATTTTGAAATCTTCAGGTGTGTAGTCCAGATTAGATCAGTCAAAAAGTAATAATTTTGAATTATCGGATTTTCCGAAAATGCTTATACCTTCTTTTTGATTTAAATTAAACCATTTTGAGTGCGGTTCTTGGAGATATTCTATTGATAGCCAATCATTGAAAATTTAATAGATGTAACATTTTTTTTTTTTTTTTAACAAGATATTTCGGGTCCATCATGGTAATATTAAGGGATCTTATTTTAATTTCCGGGAACGTTATTACGTCCTCAATTGTTCTGACCACTTACTTTTAACTCGAGATTTGCGAAATTACAATGTGGGCATGTTTTCTGATTTTCCTTTCCATTTGGTATTTGACCGATCAATAGCCATGATGACCTAGAAATCCCACATATCAGGTCAGTGAACTGATGGCATCTAAAATGGCACATTATCTCTCCCCCTGTTCCCTTTCTTATAGTGGTAGTTCTGAGTTCGGCTAGTCGAAGGAATGAGGGACTTGATGATCTTAGCGAGGCTAAATTGTCATACCTGAAAAGGGTTAGGACTCAATTATGCCTAGCTTATAGCTATCTGAAAAAGAAAACATCAAATTTTCATCAGACACGGAATAATTCACGCACAGCATACGGAAAACAGAATGATCTACGTGGCAATGTGTAAATTTTACTTGCTACCAAATCAATAAGAATAGAAGCTTGCGTTAGCGGAGATTTAAACATCCAAAAAGTTTTAGCCTATGAATTGAATGGCATCCAAAGTGTTTATCGTTACGTAAATACGTATATGTTCTGATGTATGGTTACGATAAAAATAGCGCTTTTTAAAGTTCATTTTTTTTTTGAAAATGTGTATGTAAATGTGTGACATATAGAAAGACAATTATCTATTCGAGAATGCTACGATATGTGAGGCCTTCAGATGTTAATCAGCAATTCAATGTTGACATACATTTTGCATAGATAAAGGGGCTAACGACTTTTCCATTCTTTCGCACAGTAACAGTTTTTTTTTTTTTTTCGCTCAAAGTATTCTGTCGTTTTTCATGACTAATTTGTTCCATTACTTCATACTTACTCAGTAATTTGTACGGATTATCAATGTGCTAAAATTTTGATCTCATTTAAATTTAAAAGAAAAAAAGTATTTTGCGTTTTCACTTTTTCCAGTAATTTTCCGCATAATTTATCTCAAAGAATCTCACAAGGAAAAATCCTTTACAAAGGATTTTCCAAGATAAAACGTATTCAAAGTGACAAACTCCTTCAATTTGTCCCTTACAAAATTCGTCAATCGAATTATTCCTCATAGCAAATCATTAACGAAGTATTTTCTAAGTTGCCGCGAAGTTCACTTTTACTCTTTCATATCCTTCGCATCGCTCCCTCTCAACTTCAAAAACACATTTTCAGTCATTCTTAAAATTGGAAATGAAATTAACAAATATTTATGAGAATTTGAGCCGATGCCACCGAGAGGCAGAGGAGCTTTATTTTAATCATCATTCTAACATTTCATTTTCTTTCATAAATGGTTTCTGGTGACGGAAGTTTGCATGAGTGATAATGATATGATAATGATAAGAAGTACTGTCTCTTTCAGGAACTGCTATGGATGACTGGAGTTTGTTAAGTGAGGTTTGTTTACTTTTCATCCTATTTTTAGTGAAAACATTTGGGATTTTGAAGTATTTCAAGTTAAACTATTATTCTTTGCTTTTTACTTTCTACAACTTCAAAAGCAGTTATTTATAGAATTATCAGATTTTCAGTGCAACATATGCTGCACTGAATATGTGTTATGTATTTGTCTTGCACTGATATTGCAGCATTCCTTGCAGTAATGGTGCAATATACAGAATACTGATAGAGATTTTAATGTAGATGAAGAAATTTGAGTTTATGTATTGATTAAATGGCTTTTAATTGAAACCAACGAATATCAGCTAATAAGCTAGATATATTGCGTGTCGCAAGTTGCAAATCGGCTTATATGCAGAGATTTCCTATATGAGCAATTTCCTTGTGGTTTTGTTTTTGTTTTTTTATTTTCTAGAATTATTTCGTTAAAATTAGACGATTATCAGAAAATTGAAATTATTTTTGAATTTTCAGGTGAATGTATTAGCAAAATTACCGGAACAGTTCAACGAATGGTTGGAATCAAAAAAATGGACAGAAAGACGTGATGCTCTGCAGGCATTGGTAAATGAAATGGCTAAAACTCCTCGGCTTGATTCGAAGGTCGATTACTTCAGCATAGCGCAAACTTTGCGAAACGTGAATTTTCATGATTTTTTATTTGCAGTATTATTGTAGTTGATAGAACATATTTTCTTAATGTTTAAAAAAAAAGAGATTGAAAGTAGGTTGTAAAGAAATTCCAGCAAATGTTATAAGTTTTTGTTCAAAACTCTGACTGAATTTCTACTGGAGGTAATTCCATCCTTTCGACTATATTAGTAAACGAGAAAAATTATTTCAATGTATTGCTGAGATTTTTTTAAAAAAATATAAAATTTCTTTTACTTATAAATAAACTTATGCCATTAATAACAGGTTCTTGCAAAAGATGCGAATATTAATGTATGTGCTCTCGCAGCAAAGTGTATCACAGGTCTTGCAAATGGTCTTCAAACGAAGTTTGCACAGTTTGCTACACTGGTATCATTTCGCTTATTAACCTTTTTATCCATTTATTTATATGAGGATTTCTGAATTAAATCAGTCCTAATTAATCTAACTAAGGGGGACAAATTGATATATTTTTTCGAATATTCAACTCAGAAAGAACAAGGCAATAACTAGTAATATAGTAATATATGATCTGGTTGATAACGATATGTGATTGTGAAAGTGATATCACGAATTACCAACCTTGGTACGGTAATAGAAATAATATAGCGGCCAATTTATGGCATTTCTTTAGTATATCCCAGTCATTTTCGAACGCTTCAAAGAAAAGAAGTCAATCTTGCGCGATCCTCTAATTGAATGTATCGATGCAATAGTACTCACAGTAAGTTCAAACTTTCGGGTCACAATTCGAGTAACATTTTTCAGCAATTTTTCTGTGTGTTTTTATAATCTTCATGATTTTCTTTCTTGTTATATAGGTCAATTTGGATATGTTGGTAGATGATCTATCTGATTGTTTCAATAAGCCAAATCCGCAAATCAAACTGCAAGCATGCAACTTCATTTATCGAGTGATGAAGAATCATAGCCAAACATCAGCACCCAAAAAAACTATTAAAGCTTTGGCACCAATCCTGGTTAAGGTGGAATTTATGCTGTTTTGATTTTCATTAAAAATTTATAAAAAATACTTCAAAACTAACTATGACTGAAATTGATTTTCAGTTTACGGCTGATCCAGATTCAGAGGTGCGAGAAGCAGCATGCATTGGTCTTGGATCAATTATGCGTCTAACAGGTGATAAAGTAATGAACACATTCTTGGGAAATTTGCAAGAGGATAAAATCAAAATGAAAAAGGTTCGATATTTTCTAGATTTTTTGCAATCTTTAGATGGTTTACAGAATGACGGGCTTCATTGTAAGATACATTTTCAATTATGATAAATTATTGAGCTTTTTTATTCTAAATCTTTAAGTTGTATATGTTTCTGTCAGTCGTTGTCCGTGTTTACTGGAACATTATTAACCAATTAACTGATTCTTAGTTATTCCAAGTCTTATCAGTAATAGTTACTCAATTAATGATGAAGAATAGTAAGAGTTCCCAGATTTAGTTTCTGCAATTTCAAAAGATAATTCTTAATTTTATAGTACTGATGTAAGTGTATATCAGTACAATTTCGAATTTATGGCGAAAAACGAATTTCATTTTTGCTCCACAGCCCTTGTCTCTTTTCTACAATTTTATTTTATAAACTGCCTTTTTGAACTTTTTCTCATTCCAGCTGCGAACGAATGAAATTAATCCAATTTTTGTAGAATTTTTTTGGAAGAATGAGAGAGAAGGGAAGAAAGCTGTGGTAATGCATAGACCTCTCATGTCTTTTATTTGATTACATCTTTTTAAGATATGTGATAGTAGAGATCAAGCTACCATTGAATATAATGAAGAAGCAAAGCGAAAACAAGAATCGGTGTCCTGTGGAAGTGTTGTACTTCCTGGT